AGTTACCTCTCTCTTGTCATCTCCCGTCTCTCCTGGGCACGCTATACCGTTACATGTGAACATCTACGCACTATCTTTCCAGCGGGTTTTCCCCACTGCTATTCTCGTGCCTTATAATGCCGTAGTTTCCGGCGAAATGAGTACTTTCTGTAATGTTTGAATGAATACGGCAAGTGTAGTTGCAGATAAGCCAGAAGAATTTAGTACTCTAGAGAAATTTAGTATTCTACGTCGCATAAAATATTAAGCAGCGTAAAAAGATATGTAAAAAATAATTAATATCTGCGACGCACGGAAAAAAACTGGCTGACAGAGGGAATTTATTAGCCGTAAATATTAATAAGTGTTTGAATGAATATGCAGTAAATGCCTTGAATACAAGTATAACATAAAGATAATGTTACGAATGTTTTTGTAATATTGCCTTTTACGGTTCTTTAAGGTATGATAAATCATTATTCTATTTTCCGTCATTTTCCGTCGATTACCGGCTAACTAAATAAAGTACAACGAGGAAAATGATTGATTTGGATTTTAATGATCGCTTCCCGCTTTCTTCGTGAGGCATGCAGCCTTGTTTTATCGGAACGAGATAGGATAATTATCCCCCGATGATTGGAAAATTATTCATTCGCGGTGTATGATGCTTGTCGTGAGCAGAGCCGACCACTCTTGGCGCCACGACGCGGTCGTTATTACTCTCCAGCGGTAACGGCCAATAACGACAGCGCCGTGGCGCCAAGCGTTGACGTTATTCCGCAGCACAGGGTGTTCAGAAACGGAATGTTCGGGAACGGATCTCTCGATATACGTCGACGATTCGTTACTCACTCGTCGGAAGAGATCGTAATCTGAGCCGGGCCCCGGCGCGGCAGAGCGGCGAGCGCGAGAACACGTCCCTACGGAAATGTTGGTGATTTTACTTAATTTTCAATGGCTGACGTAAACGAAATCGGAAATCAGTTATCCCGTTAATTGCACCAGGATTTACGCCCGTCGATAAAAAGCCGAAACGATAACGAGCGGAACGCACGCGTCCCGCCGCCGCCGCTACCGCGCATTTTACTACGTCGACATATAGACAGTTGGTATAATATTTTTGTACCGGTTCCCTCGCCCCGCATTACTTTTTCAGCGCCACGTGGTACCGTTTTCACGGATGGCTCCCCCGAATTTGCATTTATCGCATGTCACGGAAGTCACGCATCGTTAATACGTACGCACTTGTCGTGGTTTTTCTCGTTCTCTTTCTCCCCCACGCTCGCGCTCGGTGCTCCCACGGTGCGGCGCACTCGCGATAAGAGGACCCGGTATATTTATTATCAGCCGAGGACCGTCGAGGCGAATCGTCGACCGAAAGGGCGAAGCGTCGACATAAATCTAGCGGCACGCGAGAAAAAAAAGGGGGAGAGAAAGCGGAAGAGAAAGGGAGATGGAAGGAAGAGGAGGATACCGTTCTTTCTTCTTGAAGGAAGAGAGGCCACCCACCTACCTCTCAACGAACACGCGAAGTCATTTATTTTTCGCGGTCACTCCCGCCCTCCCCATAGTCCCTGACGTCACCTTTTGTACACCGGGGCCCGAATAAACCGACGGTCTACAGAAGAAGAAGGTTAATCCCCGCCATAACAAATAAATTACCAGACCGAAAGTAAATCAAGACGGATGTTATCGCGGCCTGCATATGTATCGTTTGAAAATTGCAGCGCCAAGGTTTTCCGGTCACGACGCCGGTGGATGACGTGACTTCGACTTCGCTCGTTAATTACGGTTGCCGTTTCATTCCCTCGCATTTCTTATGCAGATGCGCGCAGGTTAGCGCGGCTCATCTCTAATGGGATCGTGAATCGCTCGAATCAATAGAACCGATCATCAAACGTCAATAAAGAGATGCCGTTCGTTAAGACTTTGCTGCACGATGCTGAACTCGATTATTCGCTAACCAGACCAATTTTGAAGGAACAGCTTAACGTAAGTCTCATTTAAAGATATGTGAAAAAGCGCAAAATGCGACAACAATTCTAAATAAATTATTTTCTCTTCGCGTGTTTGTAATTATTGATATTCATATGAACTCATTTTTTCATTCGTGCGAGTAAAAATTTTACGTGTCATAATAAGATCAAGATTTATCTATGTATTGAAAGCCTGAGGCAGCTTGTTAATAATAAGTTGGCAACAATAAATAATAAGGCGATTGCTTGTGTCCCTCTCAGGATTAAATTTCATTTATTATCAGAGAAAGAAACGAAAAATAAACTAAAGCCTTCTCCATTATTCTCAGTACTGAGCTATCTCTCGCTAACGTCATCACCGAATTAAGCTCTGATTTCAGGAGGTGTCGTGGCGCCAGAGAGCAGATACAACCGGTCAAAGGCAGATAGTGTTAGTGCCAGGACGTGCTAGGCAGAGCTAAGCGCCGCCGATCCGTACCGAGTCCGCGAGACGGGCTAATGAATTAAGTGTTTGAGTGGCGTCCTAATGATGAAATCACGAGAAATATAACAACATCCTCCAAGAGGGTACCGCCTTGCCGACCCGTAAGTGACAATGATTTGCCTCGTGACTCGTTCCTTCGCGCCCAGTGCGGCGTTCTTCGGAGCACGTGATCGTGGTCTCGTCTCATCGAATAAATTGTGACAAATGAACGCCGGAATTTTCTAGCGAATCACCGAATCACCCACGGAGTCGAGGTTTCAACGAGGAATCCGGCACGCGATCTACCCATGACGTATTTCACGTGCGATTTTTTATTTGATCGCGCGATCGATCTAGAAGCGGAGGTATATATTAGCGCCACGAAATCCTAATTTGCGAGAGAGATCACGATATATGTATATTAAGTATATTCCACACGCTATTGTACACAACCATGCGTAAATGATAATAGTGCATACTATATACGTAAACTATTTTTGCATGTAATAAATTCAGACAATACACATTCGTCTTTTTTAATGGTTATGCTTTCTCCTCCTTTTGTCTTTTTTCTCCCTTTTTTGAACAAAACTCCTAATCGTGAAAACAAAGATCTATTTATAATTACTTATTTCCTGTACTAGGCATACAAATCATTCTCCAAAGAGTAGCTGGAAAGAGAGAAGCTTCTCGATAGTCGAATAAATTCGCGCTTAACAGAACCGGAACGTTCGCGGGGCGATTCATCTTGCGTCACGATCTCGGGCTGATTGTCTGCGAGCATTCTTGCATTCGAAAGTTCATCGATCGCGGTATTCACTAGCTGCGCGCGATACATTGTGTTGTTGCGGTACGGGGAAGCGCTCGCGTTTCAGCTGAAATTAGCGAGGCGTGCTGTGGGACGTCTTTCTGATCTTTGATATCCCGGCCAGGTTCTCTCCGTTCGGCGATAGATTCGCGCGCTCTCGCATGAACGGGCCCGTCGCGCGAAAGTTACGACTAGAAGGAAACCGGCATTTCAATATCTATACGAGGGGGTTTATCCAACAGGAATGGCACGTCTTACATTACGTGCCACGCCAAAGCGAGCCGTGCCCAACTTCTTTTCGCCCCTCGCGACCAAATCTAAATTCCGTAAATTTCAATCACGCACACCTATGCAATAATTTGCATTTACAATCTCCGTGATATAATTTCATGTACAATATGTATATGAATAAACGAGCTTGTTCGTCCATTAAATGCATTAATTATGCACATTCAAATGAGTATCAAAAGTTGAACATTAATTATGATTAACGTCTAACGATAATCACAACGTTGATCCCTAAACATCATCAAAATAGGAGGTTTATGGGCGAATCAATAAAGATCGATAAGAGAACAATCCATTTGCTAATTCGCGAAAAGATTAATTCTAACTTGCTAACGATTCGTTTTAATTATCTCGAGGGCAGATATATGGAACAAGTCGTAATCGGGTTCACAGTTTCGAAAAATGTTACAATTACCTTGTATTTGTTTTTTTTTTTATTGCAACATTGCGTAATAACCAATTTCCGGCAAACGCAGTGTTTTACACACATTCGATTTGATAACAAAGAGCGGTTTAATCATTCAAAAATGTAGTTATTCACCCTTCCGGAATGCTCTTGTAAAAATATGTATGTCTATAAACCACACCAATTCATGTCGACGCGCAGAGATCGAGCGATGGCTGTGTTGCCATCGGTTGCAACCGGAATGCATTCACGCTAATTGAAGAGCACACTTACGCCAGTGGGACGCATACGCCTCGCTATAAATAGCCGTGTTTTGCCACGAGTTTTGCACGTAATGCGTGCAGGCACGCGTGTCGCGATTGACCGTACCGCGCGAACACGTACGTGAAAGCGTAAATACACGTTGCGCGGATGCACGTTAAAAGGAGCGGTGGCAGCGATGACGTCAGTGGTAGCGAATTGACGTCGTGCAATTGGAACTCGTCGATGCTAATGGGCCTGGTCAAAGGCAAGGCGGCGATAGAAGCGGGTTGCTTCGTCGAATCAGACCGTGAAAATATTCGCGTATCCATTGTAGTTACTCTCATAAGTAACGATCTTTAATCAGGAAAGATGTGACAATATATGTTCTCAAGTAAACAGGTAATTAAAAAAGTATTTAAATATCGCGTATAATTATTTTCTATATTAATGTATCGTAGTTCATTTCGAAACATCCCGCATCAAAAAGACGATTTGTTGCTTGATTGTATAGATATTTTCTTGGCAACGCACTACCAAACTTTTGTCTCTCTTAGACGGCTATTTATTACAACGAGCACAATAGGAAATACACGGGCGTTTCATTATTTAAATCCATGTCGTGATTTAGATCGGACCTAAATCGCAGCGTCGGACGCGAAAACACGGTTAATTTCGACAGGTGGTGGCACCCAAATACCGCATCGCGGCGATTTTCGATAGAGCAGCTGACAAAGAGTCGAGTTAATCGTCGGCGAGTGCGCTGCGAGAGTACGGTCGATTGGTTTTCCAACGGGCAACGAGTAAATATTTTAAAAAGTGGGTTGTGCTCGGTAATTTGCGGCGTGGACGAGACGCGCACACACGTGCGCGCGCGTCACGTGCGCGTGTGTGTGTGTGTACCCGCGTTTTTCCGCCAGTATTTATCCGTGTACGTGTGCGCGGCGGCGCGCACTCGTGTTTCGTTCACGTGGAGGGTGGTAGATCGATTGTCCTTGCCTCTCAAGGCTGCTGCAACCCCCGGGGGGGTTGGGTTGGAATAGAATTTATAGCATACGCCGCTGGCATATTAATAGAACCGACAACAACACGGGCGACACATACAGCGACGGAGCCGCTGCCAATCCAATTTACACGACGCGACGTGACGGTACGCGAATGACGAAAATAAGAGTCGCATGTGACGACGATGCGCCTCGTCGTTGATCGTTTATCGCGAAAAACGCGCGGATATCGTTTCGTCGGGTTTCCGCGACTTTTACCTCGATTTAATCCCGTCGTCCCGGAAGAACGCGAGAGGGGGCGGCCGAAGGGAGGGGCCGAGAGAGGAGCGCAAACTGCATCTATCCGCGACGTATCGCACGCGCGTGTTGAACACGCGTGAGGAATTTGCTCGTTATCAACGATGCGCGCGTGTAATAGTTTGTACGCAGCGCGCGCGGTGCATGTTCCACGTGCGTGTGTGCCCGGGAGCCGAGGTCAGTCGTTAACGTGTAATTAAAACCTTAATCGTACAACCAAGCTCGTAGTCACACGTGGCGGCACATCCTCGTGACCATCGACTAGAAATCAGTGATGACCGATGACGTCACGCGCGGCACACACACCGCGGGCCGCGGTTATACGACAGCGATTCCCATGGGAAGCCACGACTCCGGGGCCTGATGGCTCCGCGATTAGCGTAATCGTTGCCCGGTCTCATGGTCAAACCCGTCGCGTCGGCCTGCGCCGCGTTGTACCGCGGGCTTCTCTTCCGGCGCGCGAGGAGTCGAAATGAGATATCATCCGGCCGTTGTCAACGAGGAAATATTAGACAACGCGCCGGGCGAGCTCGGTAATACTGTACCAGGATTTTCTTTACAGTATGGCTGCTTGCTTAGATAGAGCAAGCATAAATATCTCAAGCGTTTCTCGCGAGAGGTGACAAGCTGGATCAGTACTTAGGGGACTCTATAATGGGACTAACCTGTGGGAGGGGAGAGGGTAGAGGGGGAGGGGAGGGCGTTAACATAGTATACGTACTGTGCTATGAATTTTCGTACAGTAATGCAGTATGCGCGCGCGATATATGCCGCGCGACGCATACAGGGAGAGCTAGCTGGCTACGTCCTATCGCGCCTCTCGTGTGTATTTGTACGTGCTAGTCTCGTCTCGCTACTACGACGTATACATCACGCCGGGGTGACACATACAAGAGAGAGTGCGGGAGGAGATTACTATGCGGGGACTATAAATCGCGCTCGATGCAACGTGCTCGCGCGCTCGCGAGCATTTAAAATGCACTTCATACATCCGTCGGAGCGCGTAACTCGCCGCCCGATGGATCTCGCGTGAATTCGCTTTGGAAATTACGAGTTAATTCGGGCGCGCGTCGACGGTAAAAACGCCCACGGTAAAAAGTCGGATAACTGTTTATAATCAGGTTAAATATCGCTCGTCCGTTTTCGCCCGATACAGCTTCCAATTAAAAATGGAATCGATAATTCGGTATACTTGGGGGAAAAAAAAAACTGACTGAGATAGAATATTTATACGACGTTCGCGAGCCACATGGCCATTTTTCGCGTCGCTCTCTGACGTGGCTGATCGTATAGCCGATAATTAGTAGTGCGGTTCGCCAAATGCAATTACTTTGCGGCGGTGAAATTGGCGGGAAATCGCGTTTAATAGTCGCGAGGAAATAAAGAAAACCCTAGCTCCTGGCGGAGAATCATTTTCGTGCATTATGGCGTACCATGACGCATTATGATGCATTATTATGCATCATGACGCATTAGGATGCGCTATTGCGCGTTAGTAGCGCGCTTTGTACAGTGCGGCGATGTTGGCCGGTAATGCCATAAGTCTTTCATAAATTGTATACGGGGTGCTGCGAAAGTATCGTTTTGCCATGACGCTATCGTAGGAAATTCGATAGCGCTTGGTTCTTGATTTTAATACTTAAAATTATCTTAAAACTTAGCTTGTATTTCTACCGGGGATATATTCAAATACAGTTTGATCAATAAAACAAACGTCGGAAAATTAGAGTCACGAGAAATCATCATTAAATCGACAACGCACGTGCGTGCGTTCCTTAGCGCATAATTCTTTGTCGATTTAATAAATGATTGGAATTATTGACTTCCGACAAACTAGTTTCCAGGAAATGCTGCATATTATCGGATTAAAATAATTTTGCGAGTGATACTTAGTAATTGAGTGTAATGAAGTAATATTAAAATGCTTTACAGCAGTAAAGTTAACAAAATTGGTGCCGGAGTGCCATGTAACGCGAAGAAATCTAATTGTAAGATAATCACTTTTGTTTGACTACAACGCATTTCAGTGCATAAAAGCCGTCGATTATGCAAATTATACCTGATCTCGCAAAGTTAAACGCAAGGTGTCGAAATCTAAACGTATGTTATTCCGCGCGGATATACACTCAATTTCTGCAGGCTGATTCTGTAACTCTTATATATAACGACAGTTTCATTATCGTTACATTGTTGTTGCGCAGATATTACATATTATACATGGTAAAAAAAAAAGCTACGCGCAATGCAATATAACGATAACGAAATTGTCGTTAAGAGTTACAGAATCAACCTGCAGCAATATCATGAGATAACGACAATGTCGGATGCGTAAAGACGCGAGTTCGCGGTGAGACAATGTCGTCAGAGAAAATGAATGAAAGAGAAAGAGGAAGAAAGAGGGAAAGAGAGGGAACAGCATCCTTTCTTTACTCCGACGCAACGCAACGTAGCGCGACGCTTACCCA